GTAGGCAGCAGCCAGCGTGAGCGGCCCCAGCCACAGTGAGCAGCCGTCCAGAAGCCGGCAACTAATCTGCCTCGCCTGGGACGCCTGGGAAGAGCGTAATGATGGTGCCAACTTGGGCCAGTGAAGCAACGTCCTCCACAACTAGACTGAAGAACAAAACGACAGCAACTTGTCTGTTCCTCTTCCCCCAGTTCCCCAGCACTGTTCCCATCCTCCCAATTCCCCAATAAAAAAAAATCTTAAAAAAAAAAAAAAAGATTTAATTCACCAAGAGGCTATAATAATTATAAACATAAATGTACCAAACATCTGAGCTCCGAAATATATAAAGCAAACACTGACAATATTTAAAGGAGAAGTAGACAGCTCCACAATAATAGTAGGAGACTTCAGTACTCTACTCTACTTCAATAATGAATAGAACAACCAGTCAGAAGATCAATAAGGAAAGTGAGGACTTGTACAACACTACAAGCAAATTGGACCTAATAGACATAATAGAGAACCCTCTTTACAGCAACAGCAAAATACACATTTTTCTTAAGTGCCAATTGAACATTTTCTACAATAGGCCGTATGGTAGGCCAAAGACAATCCTTCATAAATTTAAAATGATTGAAATCATACAGTTTCTTTTTCCAATCACAATAGAATGAAAATGAAATCAGCAGAAGAAACAGGAAAATTCACAGATACGTTGAAATTAATCAACATGCTCTTAAACAATGAATGGGTCAAGAAGAAATCACAAAGGGAATTAGAAAATATCTTATGAAAAATGAAAATTAAAACAACATATCAAAAATTATGGGATGCAGCAAAAGCAGTGCTAAGAGGGAAATTTATAGCTGTAAATGCTTATGATAAAAAAGAAGAAAGGTTTCAAATCAAGCTAACCTACACCTTCAGGAGCTAGAAAAAGAAAAACAAACTAAACCCAAAGGTATCAACAGGAAGGAAATAATAAAGACTAGAGCAGAGATAAATAGAGACTAGAAAAAAAAATTTTATACCAAGAGTTGTTTTTTCAAAAAGATCAACAAACTTGACAAACCTATAGCGAGATTGACTAGAAAAAATGGAGATTTAAGTAACTAAAATCAGAAATGAAAAGGGGAATATTACTATGAATTTTACAGAAATAAAAAATATTATAAGACAGTACTATAAATAATTATAGGCCAACAAATTGGATAACCTAGATGAAATGGACAAATTCCAAGAAACATACAATCTACCAAGACTGAACCATAAAGAAATAGGAAATATGAATAAATCTACAACTAGTAAAAAGATTCAATCAGTCATAAAAAATGCCAACAAACAAAAGCCCAGGACCAGATGGCTTCACTGGTGAATTCTACCAAACATTTAAAGAATTAATACCAATCTTTTTCAAACCCTTCCAGTAATTGGAAGAGGAAGGAATACTTCCTAACTTCTTCTATGAGGCCAGCATTGATACCAAAGTCAGACAAAGACCTATAAGCAAAGAAAACTACTAACCAGTATTCCTCATGAATATTGATACAAAAATTCTCAACAAAATACTAGCAAACCAAATTCGATAGCATATTAAAAGAGCCAAGTGCAATTTATTCCTGGTTTGAAATGCAAAAATCAATGTCATATACTACATTAACAGAATGAAGGAAAAAAGACACACAATCATCTTAATAAATGCAGAAAAACCATTTGATGAAATTCAACACATTTTCATGATAAAAACACTCACCAAACTAGGGATAGGAGGAAACTATCTCAACAAAGGCCTGTAATATAAGCCTTTCTAACTATAATATGAAATTTAATATGAAAACCCTACAGCTATCATCATACTCAGTGCTGAAAGATTGAAAGCTTTTCCTCTAAGAACAGCAACAAGGAAAAGATTCCTGTTTTTATCACAAAAGGAGAAATTTTATGTTATCTCACTAATATGAGGTACCTAGGGTTGTCAAATTAATAGACAGAAAGTAGAATGATGGTTACTGGGGCTGAGGTAAGAATGACAAGTTATTGTTTAATAGGTACTCTGTTTCAGTTGAGGAAGTCAAAGAAGTTCTTTACATGGATAGTCATGATGGTTGCACAACACTGTCAGTGTACTTAATGTCACTGAACTATACATTTAAAAATGGTTAAAATGATTCAATTTTATGTATATTTTACAATAATAAAAGGGAGGAACTCAAAAAGAATGATTGTTTATAAATAAATAACAATGAAATCACTATGAGTTAATATTTAAGTTCTGATGCTAATTTAGAGTTTTAAATTTATTTGTTACAAACGAAAGACTGAAAGTAAGTGAAAAGGATATGTAGAAAACTAGGAAAGTAGTAATAAAATAAACCTAAGGAAAATAGAGGAAATTGTATAAATTATAAATTAAAAGCAAAATATAATAAATCAAAATTTTACATCTCTCAGTGAAAAGAATAAAATAGACAAACTTGAAAATTCTAGTCTGAGGAAAAAAGCAAATACACAGAAAAGCTTAGGAAGCAGAAAGGCCAAATAACCACCAATAGTATTTATTTGTAATAGCTAACATTTTTATGTAGTTTTATATCAGTGCATTTGGAAATCTATAGGAAAAGACCTTTTTCTAGAAAAATATTAATGATTAAGATTGACTAAAGATGAAGTGAAAAAAATAATCGAATAATCTTAGAAGAAACCAAAAGGAGAGTCAAAGATGTACAACTTTATGAAGAACTTAAGCCCAGTTATTTTTTGTGTTGTTGTTTTTCTAAATGGAGAGATTTCGTTTATTTTTCTGATGCTATACAAATAAATACCAAAAATACTTATTGATCACTTAGTATTTATAAGATGTCATGTTAGATACTATGGCAGTCAAAGCAAATCAAATGTAGATTTTGTCTTTACAGAAATTTAAAGTATCCATTACTATTTTCTGGAAAGATGTAATTCAGCTTATAATACACTCTGGTATTAAGATCACCCCAGTTATAATACACATAATACTGTGCTGGGTACAAAGCAAAGCAAATTCACTCAGTGCTTTAACTGGCAGTAAGAATGACAAAGAAATAACAGCAACATTGTTGCATGTTTACTGTGAACCAGGAACTGTTCTAAGTGCTTTCCATGGATTATCTTATTTAAAACTCAGAATATCCTTATGGGATAGGCGCTATTATCACACTCAGTTCACGTGAGGAAGTTGAGGCACAACAAACTTAAGTAATTGCTCAAGTTCACAGCCAGTAATTGTCAGGGCCTGGATCTGAATCCACGCAATCTGTCTGACGGCAGAGCCTACGTGTTTAACCAGCCTTTCCCCACTAACAGCTGTCAAGTAAAACGGTGAAATGAAAACCACAGAAAAATCTCCATTGTTTCTTTGTCTTATGATATTTCTTGTAATTTTGTTCTTTTTCACTAGGTCATCAAGACCTAATATCTTATTTATCCCAGTGTTCCCATAAAGCACAGTGCTGTGGTACTCAGTGTAAGTTAGTGGACAATAAAACTAAATGAACAACATTCCTCTTCCCTTCCCCCTCCTTCCATTGACTCTGGTAGGAGGAACCAAGAAAAGAAATGAAGAGCTTGACCTCCATATTGTGTAACAGTTTCTCGACACTGTCTCTACATGGTAAAAGACCCATCATGTAAAAATATCCTTGCTTTATGTACCAAGAAATTGGTGAAGTATACGTCCAAAGTAACATGTGTATAAGGTTTTTGTCTGTAAAGACTTAAGAATATGTGTTCTAACAAAATCTATCCCATCCACCAAACAATTGGCTGAGTAGACACCCAAAAGAAGTTTCCTTAGATCCATTTTTTTAAAGCCTAAATCCATTGTAGGAAAGAAAGGGATTATGAGCCCCTCTGTATCCAGGCTGCAGGATGGAAGTGACAATGCTGTAACTTAGCCCTCATGAGCTGTTCACAGGAGCCCCCATTCTCCTCTGGGGTGTAAGGTATTTCAGAACCCCTCTAGTAAACCCCTTCTCCGTGGAGGAATGGGTGCAGGAGGTAGAGGGAGCACAACTATACGTATAAGAACACAGAGTAACTTTACAAGGTCAAAAGCATGAGGCAGTATGGCCTTGCCCCTAATCCCCGCCTCTGCCCCCTGGTGACTTTAACAGGTATTTAGAAGCAGGTGACCTCATTCAGAGCATCCAATAAAGCCCCACCTGGGAGAAGCTGCTGCGGCTAGCCCCATAGTTAACCAGTGTGGTGAGTCGGGTTAGAGTTTTAATGAGCACTGAGGTCCCTATCAAAACACCTGGGGTACTAGTCCACTGAGTTATTCAGTCAAACAGACCCCGTGGAAATCTCTGTGGATGAGGGGTGTAAATCTACACTTCATAGGCTTTCCAGTTGATTAACTGCTTTTCCCCAGGTTTGTTTGGTTTTTTTAAACAGTTTCACTGAGGTCTAACATACAATAAACTACACATGTTTCAAGTGTACAATTAATAAGTTTTGATATATGTATACAACCATGAAACCATCACCACAGTAAAGACAGTGGACATATCCCTCACCCCCAAAATGTCCCTTGTGCCACTTTATAATCCATACCTCTGGCCCCTCCTCAGGCCCCATCCCTAAGCAAACCACTGATCTGCTTTCTATCACTATGGATTCATTTGCATTTTTGAGAGTTTTATATAAATGGAATCATTTGGGAACATTCATAAGCTTAAGACCATCAGAAAAGAAAAATCTGAATTTAAGAAAAGGTTTTAGACAATGGAAGATGATATTTGTAGCAGAAATGAAGTTGAGATGTACATTTTTTTATAATATTTTTCTCCTCCATGACTGGTCTTTTTATATGAATTTCTAATTTGCATTATTATCAAATAATACAGCATATCTAAACATAAAGTGTTTCTTTTTAAATTAATTAAAATTTTACTAATGTCCCATTTTTATTCCCAAAAGGTGTTGCCTGAACCAAAGTTGTGTTACTTGATTTTTGTTTGCTTTTGTTTTTCATCTTTTTGCAGAGCATATAGGATTGGGCAGTGCAGGGATGTGAAAGTGTTTAGGCTGATATCCTTGGGAACTGTGGAGGAGATCATGTACTTACGACAGGTATACAAGCAGGTAAATATATTTCCCTTTTTCTCATTAAAAAATAGACATTTGCCTGTTTTCAAAATTAGGAACAAATTTGTATAAAAATATGTTTTTAATTTTATTCTAACTATAATATGAAGTTTAATAAGATTATGAAATATACTCGAGAACACACTTCTATAAAACAGATGAATTCTTAGGTTCATTGAGTTTTAGAGCTGAAAGTTTCTTAGAGCTGTACTTCTTAAACTTTAATGTGCACGTGAATCACCTAGGGATCTTTAAAATGCAAATGATTTAGTAGGTCTGGGTGGAGCCCAAGATCCTGCATTTTTAACAAGCTCCGAAGAGTGCCAACACTCCTCGTCTGTAGACCACAATTAGAGTAGCAAGGTCACAGTTTCCCAAACTGTGGGCCAAGACGTGGTATGCCACAGATGGGACACAGGTGCACTGAGACACTGAGCCCACAGCTCTAGGAAGCAAGTTTACTGAATCCAGCTTCCAGCCTTGATAACAACATGTGTACTCCAGGTAGATGTTCATGTTACCATTTTCTATGTGTGCCATGACATGAGGAAGAGTGGGGAAAAATGCCTTAGAAGTATCTAATGCAATTCCTTCATGTTATACGTAATGAAACTGGGACCCACAGCCACCCCAGGAAATGGAATTATAAGAATCTAACTCAAATGCCCTAACTACTTACCGTGCTGGTGCTTTTAGTATTCATCTAAAATTGCATTAACTCATTAATATCCTTAGGGTATCAATTACTATTTCATGTATGCCTCTAAATAAACAAAGTTTATTTAGTTCATAACTGCTCACTTGAGAAGATCTGGAATGAGGTTCAAGTTTAATTATAAATGTTAAATTTGAATTACTCCCTATATATTGAACTGGCATCCCTTTAAGAGCAAACATCTGCCACATGTGGTGGTAGTTAACCTAAGAATGATCCAATCTTAAATTAATGCTGTTTTCTTAATTCTAAAAATAGGATTGTACACAGCAGTTTTTGTTTTTTCTTTAAGCATTTAGTTCTGTAAAAAGCCTTTCATCTTTTTGTTCCTTGGTGTAGCGCAACTACTTAAAAATTATTTTTTAGACATATTTAACCAATTTTGGAAATAAGTAGGATATTATTTGGTCAACTTAGGAGCAGGTCTTTAGAATACTATCCTAGCCTATCACAAATAAGAGTCTTTCCTCAATCATGTAGTAAGTTTTCTCAATCCCATTACTATATTTATCCTTTTTAACTATTTACCTGTTTTTATAATGAAATAAAATGGCCTGTTATATAATGTATATTATATGATAATATATAATAAAAAAGCTTAAGAAGATGAGGATAATTTAGGTTTTCAGAATTTTGTATGATCTAGTTACTTATTAAACTATTTCTAAATGTGTGCTGCTTAGAGAAGATTCAGCCATAAACTTGGTAGGCACAAGTAAAGACGGCACTCATGTGAGGAAAAGGCATTAAATGTGATTAAAAGATTGGAGTTTGAACCAAGGGTACATATGGCCTACACACTCTAGCCACCCAGGTGGTACTCAAATCTTCTGGAGGAAACCAAATCCAAAATGACGTGTAAAAAGAAAAACCTACAAAAATGTTGGAAAACAAGAAGTTTTCTCTGTGGCCCAGAAATTATAAGGAATCCTGAAAGACAAAAAGCAGTTGGGATCAGATTAGAGGAGGAAACTAAGCTAAATTCAGGAAAAGGCTACAGAAAAAGATAGGAATAAACTTCTGGATAGTCCTAGCTTAGAATGAGCAGATATTAAAAAATAAGGGAGCCTTGGGTTAACTGTGGTACCCCTTTTTGCAGTATCATTGATGATCTTCAAGGTGGTTTAACCCTTACAATCTACTTCATTGTACCAAGTTGCAGCCAACAGAGGTGTCTGCTCTCAAGTAGGAACAATAATTAGAAATACTAGAGCACAGAAGCAAGACAGAGCTCCAAATTTTTGCTGAAATCAAGAAGAAAGTTCCTCCCGTTGCTCAGAGGATTAAATACGCACACCTCCCTCACTGTGAATAATCACTGCAGAGGGCTGAGATAAGCATCCAAGATATTTGAAGACAGATGAATACCCAACAAAAAAAATTACTGAACAGTTTAGGAAAATAAACGCTGAAAATGGCACTCAAAGGTATCAGATCCTGATCCCTGGGACCTGTAAATGTTATATGGAAAAAAGAGTCTTTGCAGATGGGATTAAATTAATGATTTTGAGATGGGAGATCAGCTTGGATTATCCAGGTGGGCCCTAAATCACAGTTGTCCTTAGAAGGAAGAAGCCAAGGGAAACCTGGCGCAGACAGGAGAAGGCAGTGTAACCACAGAGGCGGAAACTGGAGTGATGTCACAGACTAAGGAATGCTGGCGGCCACAGAGGCTGAAGGAGGCAAGGCATGGTTTCTCCCCTAGAGCCTCTGGAGAGAGCGTGGCCTGCCAAAACCTTGATTTCAGCCCAGTGATACTGATTTCAGACTTCTGGTCTCCAGGCTGTAAGAGAATAAATGTCTTTTTTTACGCTACCAAGTTTAAGCCACCAAGTCTGTGATAATGTTACAGGAGCCATGGGACCTAATACAGGCACTGAAAAAAAGAATTCACATCAGAGAAAACAGAATTAATAATAGAAGAGAGTAAAATAGATTTTAAAAGAAATATAAATAATATATTCAAAAGATAATTAGGGTTGTAGGACCCTGGAGACAAGAACAAAGTACTAGGGAAAGAATCCATTAGAGATCCCAAAATTAAAATTCTAGAGCTAGGCAGAAAAGCAAAGAGCCAAGTTTTCATCTAAAAAACAAAAAAAGAGCCAAGCAATTCTAGATTACAGAGTAAAAAGATGGAGATGAAGCACATGTAAAGAAAGTTAGGAGAAATGAAACCCGCTAGATCTAGAAAGAAGTTCCAAGCCAGTCTTATAGTTGAAGAAGGGAACATAAGAAAGAGAAGGGAAGAAGCCTCAAATAAAGGAAAAAGCATGTAAAAAGTAGAAAATGACCATGGATTATATGGGCCTACCAAGTGCTCGATAGGATGAATGAAAATAGATCTACACGTACACCATCTTTCTATAATTATAAGACACCAAGATATAGTACAAAAAAATCCTTAAAATGTCCAGACATAAACTTTCTGGAGAGAAAGAAAATTATCTAGAATGGTACTAGAATTAGATGGACATCTAACTTCTTATCAGTGATACTGGATACTTAGGAGCAATAACTTCAAATGAAGGAAAATGACAGCTCCGTGTTGTCAAAGAAAGTGAATTTTTAATTCAAATCTTTCCACAAAGAAAGGTGGAGGCATCTGGCCTTCACTTTTACTGGAACCACTCTGGAAAAACTTATTTAAGTTCAAAATAATGTGACTTTTATAAGTTTTATGATAAAACTTTGGTAGGAAACATATAAAGATTCAGATTGAATGCTTACAAATTACTTTGGTGACTATATTTGTTAGTTCTGCAGTCTGACAGTACAGTGTTAAGGTAGAGTCAGTAGCAAAGCTAAAATCATCAGGTAACTGGCTATCAGGTACATCAATTGCTAGTGTGAGTCTGTATTCGCAGGACTATAGCCCATGTCTCTGGGATGTTGATATCAAACTGATTAAATTGGTATGTTGATTCATAACTTCTATAAACTAAGATCCCATGAGCCTTGTTTTAAGATGGACATCCTGGAGGTGGAAAATTATTACAAACATAAATTTAGGATTTAACCAAACCGAGGCATAAATTCTAAAAATAACACTTCCTAGATGGGTAGCTGTGGACAAGGAACGTAATTTCTCTAAACTTAAATTTCTTTATTTCTAAAATAGAGAAACTCGAATTTCTTTATTTCTAAAAGAGAAAAAGAGAAATAATAGTATCTTATAGGGGTGTAGGGATTAAATGAAAGGATGTAAAAATGCTACACATGTAGTAAGTGTTCAGTAAATAGCAGCTTATTATTATGAATAATTTTAGTTGCCTAGAATAATTTATTACAGTGCAAATCAACTCTAATGATAATCACAATAACGTACCATCTCTGACTAATCCTTCTATCAACAATAGACTGAAGTTGTCTTCCATTCTGTGCGTTCTTTGTTTCTTCCAAGAAAATTTAAAGTATACATGGGATTAATCAGGTTGTATCTACAATACCTTTAGTAAAATAGCCAGCAAATGAAGAGGCCCATTAATGTTGATACTAAAGTGGTATGTGTCCCTAAGGGTTCCATGGCAGTCGGCTTTCTATATTCGGAATTGTTTCAAAGATGCAATGTTTCTAAACAGTGGTTAGGTTTTTGCTGTTAGTTGACAATGTAACCACGGCCACAGTTTGTTTGACACCAACGTGGTTATCATATAATGACTTCAGATTATCATTTAACTTTGGTAATATAATGATTATTTCTGACAGTTTTAGTAGTTCCTATTGTAGTAAGAGTCTAGAAAGGAGGAAAGTGTACCCATATGTATGCCTGTATTATTAAACATTTTATGTCAGGTGGATAGTCCTTAGAGATGTGATCTTGACTGAGTTGGTAGAAAACAGATAAAATAGGAAATATATGATTTCTTCAATAAGACTGGCTAGATTATTATTATTATTTCACCATAATGGCAACATCTGCTAGGGAAATTAAAATAAAATTTCCTCCCTAAGGAGATTCTTCCTGCTCCAGCTAAAGCTGTGTATATACAGGGAATGCCAGGAAATTCTGACATATTGTTGGAGCAAACACTTCAAAAATGTCTTGTTTTTTCTGTTTTAGCAACTTCACTGTGTGGTGGTTGGAAGTGAAAATGCCAAGCGATATTTTGAAGCAGTTCAAGGATCAAAAGAGCATCGAGGAGAGCTTTTTGGGGTCTCTAATCTCTTCAAATTAAGGTCCCAAGGGTCTTGTCTTACGAAGGACATCCTGGAGGTGTGAAGTTGTTCTCTGACCTTCTCAGTAATCTTTTAAACATGGTTTTCTCCCTCAGGGAACTTGAAATATAATTACTGGTGCCTTTTCAGAGAAATTTTTGGTTTTCTTCATAAAAATGCCTTATGTTTAGACTTTCTACTTTTACAGAAATAAGAAATGAATTATTGTATCTCTAGACTAAGATTTCCCACTGCATAGTTATAAATAATGTACACACACAAATACAGATATGTATACTAAATAGAGTGACCTCCAAGACATTTTCAGACTGGCAAAGAGAAGTTTATTATTTTGAAAACAGCTGTTGAAGTCAGGAACTAAAAAAAGAGACTTTCCTAAATAAACAAAAACATAAAATGTGTTTTGATTAAAAGTTACCAAATACTCCCTGAGATGCATTCTCATGTCTCATGGAGATTTTTGTTTTCTGTTCCCAGTAAAAATTCCACATCAATATTTCAGACTCTCCCAGTTGTGTTCATCCTCAGCATACAGATGTTTCTTATTCTTCAAACAGGATATTTATATCCTTTAAAAATACCTTTTAAATGCTTTAATATACCCAACTATTAAGGATATTAATATTTTCTAGTTGATCTTGATATGAGTATCATAAAATCCTAGGATATCATCTTTTTCAACCCCTTCATCATATAGATGAGGAAACTGAGTCTTGAAATTAAGGATATTTTCCTTAATGTCCAAGACTTTGTAGTAAAACCTTCCATACTTCATTAATTCATTAAGTACCATAAAAACATTTCAAGGAGCAATTGGTCCCTTTCCTTAAAGAGCTTAGATCATCTTCATGGGAGGTGGGAGAGAACATTTACGTAATAAACATGTAACATCAGAAAGCATATGTTAAGCAAGTTCAGTAGCAATATGACTCTGACCTACTGCTACCAAGGGATAACTGATAATGGTTAACAGGAAGGTGTATATTATCTGTATCCTGGGAATATTGCACTTGTTATACAATGTCTGGCGTCTACTGCTGAGTTTTTATTTTACGGTAACTGTTTGATTCTGAATTGAGTGGCCCATTTAAAGTCCCCCTTTCTTTGATCTTTTTCTTGTTTTTAAATATGCTATTTCTTTTTATGGACTTATTTTGCCCATTCCTCTTCTCTAATGCATAACCTTGTTTGTCCTCCAGGACCCTCTCAGATCTTACCTCCATTGCAGAGTACTAGCCAATATACCAGCCTATATTCATGTTTTTAATTTGAAATCATTATCTATAGATTACATTAGCACTCTATTACTTACCCTGTTTTCAGCCATATATCAGTTTAGTTTTCTATTTTATGAGAATATCCACCAATTCCTTTGTTAAACAAGTATTAGGTGGTATATATCAATATGACAAGTTATTAAATGCAAATTTCGCTTGTTCTCTGGTCATCCTAAGTATATCTTGTGTCTCCCCAACAGTGTTTGTTTATTAATGACAGGACCCTCCATGTATTATTTTGTTTGTGGTAAAATGTGCTTAACTACTTGATAGGCACATCATTAGCACTCAGCTACTAAATATTGAATTAAAATTGCTCATTGATTATTAACAAAATTTAAAATTATTCAGGCCTGGTTAAATTCATGTTGCTTTTTGCCAGATGATGTTTTAAAATATTATTATTCCAAACCCTGTATAATGAAAGCATATATCATAACATAAAAGAAGTATTTTACTTCTTGTGATACATTTTTAATTTTTAAAGGCTATAGAAAATTCCTTTTTAAATGTTTTAAGATATAGTAATTTGAATTTGTAGAACATTTTTAATCTGATGATTTCTAAGCAATTTATTTCTATTTTTCATTGACTTTCCTATTTATATCGTGGTTTCTCTTTAGAGTTAGATATTGAGAGTTCATTTCACAAATATTTATTGAGTATATGCTAAATGTCAGGTACTGTTCATAGAACTGGGCATACAAAAATGAATAAAATAGACAAAAACCCTGCCTACAAAAAAATTGACTTTCTATTTGGGGGAGATGATAATACACAGAAAAAATAAGTGAAGCATATAGTATATTATAATGCTAGGTTCCAAGGCCGAAAACAGAGCAGGGAGAAGATGAGTAGGTCCTGGAGCTCTAATGCACAGCTTAACAATTACAGTAGGCAGTACTGTATTGCATACTTCAAAATTGCTAAGGGACTAGATCTTAAATGTTCTCACCACAAACAAGCAATGATAATTTTGTGACACAATAGAGGTGTTAGCTGAAGCTACAGGTGGTAATCATATTGCAATACATACACGTATGAAATCAACATAATGCTTGTACATCTTAACGTGTACAGGGTTATATATAAATTGTTATCTCAATAAAAAAAATGAGAGCGGGAAGGGAAATAGGGAAACTATCGAGGAAACAACATTTCGATTGTAAGTGGAGTAGTCAAGGAAGCACTCACGGTGAGATTGTATTTGGTTCTTTGAAGAGACTGGGTAAGAAGATGTGGTTTAGACCTAGGAACAAATGCAGAGGCCCTGAGGAGGAGCATGCCCAGCGTGGGGCCAAAGAAATGTCAGGAAGCCAGGTTATGCAGGAACTGGGGCTTTGAGTGTGACAAAAAGCAATTCGAGGGCTCTGACCAGGAGAATGACATAGTCTGATCTATATTATCTAGATTAAATATGCAGAATTAGACTATAGGAGTACAAGAGTAGAAGCAAGAAGCGAGCAAGCTAGGAGGATAATGCAATAATCCAGCCGTGAGATGATGGTGGTTTAGGCCAGGATGATAGTGGTGATGGATCAGATAGAGGGTGAGAAAAAGAGGAGTTAAAGATAAATCCTAGGTGTTGGGCTGTGCAACAGAAGACTGGAGTTGCCATTTCCCTATCACAACGGGGTTCTGATAGCTTGAGGGATTTTTGGGTGCTGCCAGTTGGATCTGTTGCAGCCATTTAGCTTCTGTTGAAAAGATAAAAAGCAGTACCAGGAAGGAGGCTTCACACACCCTTGCAGTAATGGCTTCTAGGCATTGGAAGAAAAGGTCTCATGACAATTGAGGAACTGTTTATCATTCTCTAGAGTTCTGTGGGGGAGATTCTCACTTGTTGTCCTGGATACTGGGTAGCTGGAACCATGCCACTGGTATGTCTGTATATTCATAAGTTGGGCATTTGTAACTCTGGTGATAGTAGTGTTATTTCCCCTCATTCTATTAGCAAAGCTTAAAAAGGGAAATATATTAACTTCCTTTTAAGGAAAAATTTTATATTTTAGAATCTAGGCAATTAAATAACTCTGCTAAATGATATACCAAAAGCTTTAAAAGCATAAATACTCTCCCTAAAGATGTTGCAAACTTATTATATAATAAAGACCTTTGATCTTCAAAAAAAACCCCTTTTGTTTCAGTTTCATATTAGGATGGACCTTTTCATTTTGATGTCTTCTACACCTAAGGAATCAATAAACATTTTAATAAATATGCACAATAAATATACTAGCAATATAGTCTAGAATATCAAGTTCCCAATACTCAGCATTATCTGTTGGTATTTGAAAATGTAGGTAATACAGCCTTAGTTTAATTATTACATAGACATGGTTATTATAATCATATATATATATATATATATATATATATATATATGACATTTTTCACCTTCCCTGACCTATTAGAGCTTTTAATGGAGTTAGCTGAAAGTTACTATTAATTTTCTATCTGATAAAGTCAGGTTTAAGACAAGAAATAAGTATTATATGGGCCCAGCATGCTTCCCCTCTGCCAGTCTACTACCTAAGAATTAAGAGTGTTTTAAAATGTTAATATAAAGAGTTCCTTAATTAGCAAATTGAAAACTACCATTAAGAGAGCTAAAGCAAGCTGCACTCTAGATTTCCTTTCTTAACTCCATGTTTCAGCCTGCCGTGGCTATTGCTTCTCTGTTTGTTTTAACCCCCATTTTACAGTCATGTGCATTCTTTGTAGAGAGAAGGCCAAGTGGAAGCAGGGATCCTGACAGCTACAACATGGTTGAAAGAGGAGCCTCCAGGACACAAACTAGAAACAGTAAGCAGTTTGGGATCTGTAGCCCAGAACTCCTAGAGAACATGGACTATGATAATTTTAAGTTGACTTTACTTTTTTCTTCATTTTTCAATGTGTAAAGAAAAGGTGTTTTAAAAAAATCAAGGACTCAAAGTCAGAGGACTACCAGTAAAATTAATAATTTAGGCTAATTTAACATTTCATATTGTAAGAGCATATTCAGGAGCATCTAGATTGAAATTTTAACTATACCAAACTGTAAATCTGAAATTAAATACACTGTATAGATTACCAATCGACCTAAGTAAATATTTTTTTTAATAAACAACAAATGAAATGGGAAACATCCAAGTGCATTTAAGATTATTAAATCTAAGCATCAAAATTATTCTCTTAGTAGATATTTTATCTGAGTCTTTAATCTTAATCTTGTAATCTTTTTAGTAGTTTGTCATCTCACATACTATAAAATCTATATTGTCACCAAAAGGCCTTTTTAAAAGTAAAAAAATATATGTGAACTTTTTGTTTTTGTTCCTAGTTTTTTCTTGTTTGTTTTTAGGGATTTATGTAAATTTATATTAGCCCAATGATTTTGAATATGGGGTGAATATTTTTCAAAATTTATAGAAATACATGAATATCAAATATTGGCAGGAGTATGGCTAGATAATACTTTCCCAGAATCTTAACTAATAAAGCCTCAGCTTTCTGAAACTGAAGGATATATTTAGCTCTGACTGATGTTGAAAAATTAAATATTGGATTTAAATTTGTAGCAAATTTCACTTCAAAATATCTTCAATATTTTCTTTATTTCTGGTTGTCAGGATCCTATCTGATCTTATTTTTAATCAATTAGAACCATTTTCCAATTGCAAATACTTTACTTTGTTAGCTCTTACAAATTTTTTTGTTCTTAAAGCGAGATGAGGAGCATCTGCTAGACTACAATAAGTAATAAGATGTGTGCTTTTCGCTTTTGAGGCCAGAACCGGTCCCTGCCTCTTATAAGCTGACAACTCGGCTCTGTGTTTTTCTTATAAATAATTTGGTCACATGGTATTCTAGTTTAAACTTTTATTTATTTTGGAAAGTGATTCAACTTGAAAAGAGGAAAGAGTGTACCAGACTATAATATTAAATCCTTTACATTTGTTTACTAAATGTACTTTTACAAAATACCAAGTGATATACACATTATACGCCCAAATTTAATTCCTTTCCATTGTGATAGATTTGATGTTGTTATCTTCATGTTTCCTAATATTTCTGTCATTGCTTCTTTTATAGCCTAGAGAGCCTGACTGTCAAGAACACAGAGGTCCAGAACAATCTGTAGAACCACTGGCAAAAGAAGCATGTGGTCTCTGCAGTGATTTTAGCGATGATGAATCAGTGGAAAACTCAAGAGTAAAGCCTGCTAAAAATAAAGCATCTGACTCAAGTAAAGCTTCAGGGTCTTCTGGACAGCTTACCTTACTCCAGTGTGGTTTCTCTAAATTGCTTGAGACAAAATATAAAGCAGTTGAGGATAGCGATAAAAACATTGCATCTGACGATGAAAGTTCTGATGAACAGCCCACATGCCTTTCAACAGAAACCAAAGAGGTTGGTTGTCAGAAAAGTCAAGACTCTCTTGGTACTTCAGAACATCAAAAATTAGCTAACATCCTGAATCCAAATAAAAACTGTACTTTTGATAAAAGTGAGAAGATTTTAGAGCAGAACATTTCTTCCAAGTCTGATGATGAGAAAAATTTAAAAAATACAGCTGACCACCATTGCATTTTACAGAATGCCACAGAATCAGAAGATAGTGATGTCATCTTTCCCACACAATATGCAATTCAGAAATTTTCTATGAATAGTACAGGGCTTCAGCCCCTTGTCGATGGATCTGAAGATTCTGAAACAGAAAACCCTGTAAAAATAAGAAATGATGGTGAAGATAGAAACACTGATGTCAGAGGAAGTGGACTAATTTCAAAACAATTAAGTCCTGAGAACATGACCCTGAAATCTGTTATGAAAAGAAAAGGCAGTAGTGATATCAGTGATGAGTCTGATGACATTGAAATTTCCTCCAAGTCAAGAGTAAGAAAACAAAGAGCTACTAGTTCTTTGAAGTTCAAGAAGAGAAAGGAAAATAAAAGGAAACTTTACACTTTTCCTAAAACAATGAAGAAAGCAAACCAACTGTGTGCAACAGACAAAGATTGTAACTCTCAGACTATTGATGACTTTCCATCCTCAGATGATGATTTTTCTGTTAGCCACATCAGTTTCTCTAAACAGAGACTTAGACCAAAAACTATAAAAGATAGAATCGATTTCTCTTCAAAATTGCCTAGCCATAAGAAAAATAGCACTTTTGTACCAAGAAAAGCAATGAAATTTTCAAATGAGAGAGTTGTCAATCAAGAGCAGACGTATGAATCAATGGATAAATTTTTAGGTAACTACATATACATTCTGAAACTTTACTTATTTGTTTTGTGCAAACAGTTCCATAAGATTCTTGAATTAGCTTGTAAAATAGCCCTCTACAATCAAAATATTACATTGAGACACAAATGAGGAAGTGGGTGGGTGGCAGGATAAGGGAAGACCAGCTTGGTCAAGATAGAGAACTTTGTCATCCCCCCAGGACCCGCTCCATGTGTCCCATCTGAATCACAGCCCTTCCATCCCCATAAATACTAATTATTCTAACTTTTATAGTGATCACTTTTTTGCATTTTTATGATTTTATCACACAAATATGTATCCCTAGACATTATAGTTTAGTCTCATTTTTTAAAAAATTTTATATAGTCTTTTTTATTCTGTAGTATTCCTCCTCCATCCCTTTCATTTCCTTAACATTTATCTGTTGAAGAACCTGGGTCATCCATAGAGTTTTCCTCAATTTGCATCTTGCTAATTGTGCACTCTTGGTACAGTTGAACATATTCCTCTGCCTTCTATATTTCCTACAAATGAGCAGTATCTGATACTGTATCAAACTCAAGTTCATTCCTTTGACAAGACAAAAGTTAGTGTTTAGCAAGACCATGGGAGGCACAAAATGTTGCTGGTCTCTCTCTTATCTTGGCAGCCCTTGATGCTTAATGCCTGGAACTATGTATTCATTCAGAGTAGGAAAATGATGTTTTCTACTTCTCTTATTTCTTCTTCATTTGTTAGTTAGAATGCTTCTCGAAGGAGATACATCTACTGGTACTTACCCAGTCGTATAGTTCATATGGAGAAGGCAGGGAATATACTTAATTCCTTTCTTTACCAGTTTTTAATATAATAAAATTGTTTCCTTAGAGGGGAATGATCTTTCTTAAAATCATTATGAATTAATTGATTCAAACACATTTAATGGGTCTCAATCCATTGCAATGAATATCATTATTGAGGTTCGGTTGTCTCATCTTTGGATAGTGGGAGCCTTTGGACATGAGCACTTTGGTTCCTGAACCCTGTAACATGATGCTATCTTTGTCATGATGTCATCTTTGACTGTAATCTGGAATTACAGAATGTTCCAGGATCATCTCATACATTTTCTGCCCCAGACCTAGAATCAGTCGTTTCTCCAAGAACTCTTGGTTTCTTTTAGTGAGAAAAGACTACATACAGCCTTTTGCTAGGAATGATCATTGCTGCAACTGGCTTAGTTCTTATTTCTGGGCCTTTTCAGTGGACACACTGTGTGTGTGTGTGTGTGTGTTTATATTTATGTATATATTTATATACATATTTATGTACACATATGTATTTTTATGTCTCATGATAAAATACTTCATGAGTTTATATCATACTTCCATATTTACATTAATACTTAATTTGAGATTATAGAACCTTTACTAAACCTCTTTGCTATCACATTTGTATAGCATTTCCTCCATAATGATAATTCTGGCTCTTAAGCGTATAGGGAGTGTTTTCATTATAATATCCCATAATTTCTCATTAGTCTTATCCCATATTATGTAAAAATAAAAAAATAAAAATACCAATACTACTATACTATGATTCCTGATTCCTGGAAACATTAAGGTTTTTGTTTGTTTGTTTGTTTTGCATGTGCCCTCCCATTTCTTCCTCTTTTAAAAAATGGGTATATTGTGTCTACAGTGTCAGAACATACATACAGACATTGTATTATATATTCTGCCCCTCCTAGACTTAATTTATTCTTGGCTTGCAGGTAAATATAAATGTAATGCTCCCCATTAGGCTTTATAGCAATGTCTCTTAAGTCATTTTAGTTGTCTGAAACTTATTTTCTAGCATATCCCTCAGGAAGTGCTCATGAGAATAATATTGCCTGAGATTCTTGTTGATAACAGACAGTTTGTGCCCTTTATACTTAAAAGCTATTTTTGCTGGATATAAAATTCTTGGTTCATACACTCTTTTCTTAAGTCTTTTAACTATGTAGCTTCATTTTCTTTGAACATGACATTTTTTTCTCCCTAGATGCCCAGAGGGGTTCTTTTCTTTTCATTAGTGTTCATTAATTTTACTAGATTGTGTTTTAATGTTTGTCTTAGTCAACTTGGGCTGCTGTGACAAACTACCATAAACTGGGTAGCTTATGCAACATTTATTTCTGAACAATTCTCGAAGCTGGGAATCCAAGATCACAGTGCCAGCATGATTAGGTTCTTGGAGAGGGCCCTTTTCCCAGTTCCAGATGGCCCCCTTCTTGCTGTGTCCTCACATCATGAAGAGAGAAATGATCTCTCTCCTGTCTTTTCTTCTAAGGGCACTAATCCTATTGATTAGGGCTCCACCTTCATGACCTAATTATCTCCCAAAGGTCCAACTACAGATACCATCACGCTGGGGATTAGGACCTCAACATATGAATTTGCGGGGGACAAACCTTCAGTCCATAGCAGTGTTGGTTATTCTGAGTCAATATTCTCATAGTGTAGTTTCAGCTTGGTTTTTATTTTAGGAAAGCTTTCTTGTACTAAGTAAGTGTTTTTACTTACTTTGTTTTATTCCTTTGCTTTGGCTTTCTTCTTGAGGGACTCCTGTTATTTAAATGTTCAATCTTCTTTTTCTGTCCTTAGAATTTGTCACATTCTGTCAAATCCTTTTTTCTCTTTTTCATTTCTCTTTGCTTTTTAAAAAAATCCTTCTTTCTTTTAAAACATTATCTGTTGTGTTCATTCCCTCTTCTAGTTTAGTCTTCATATCTGAAATAATTTTTTTCATTTTCTAAGTCTTTCCTGAATTCTGCCACTCATTTCTGAGTTATTTTAATTCTGATTTATGTTGTTGGTTCTTGTATTTTATCATTTTCTTGGCCTTTTACCTCATTTTGAAATCAGTTACAGTTTTAATCTGTTTTGTGAGCACATATTTCTGGCATCTTCAATTATAAGGATAAATTCTGCTTATTCTCCTTCATAGTAATTTTTATGAGATTTGACCCTCTTGCTTATTTTTATAGAAATTACTTTCCCTGAGTTTTTTTAAATGAGGCAGAGTTTAGGAAATTTTTTCTGTCATCATAGAGCTGTGATTTTTGTGGCGTGTTCACCACTACGGTGGGATGTCCTGTCTCTGTCCCTCTCGCCAGCTTTTCCCCGGAGCTTCTCTTTTCCTCATTCCTGTTCTTGTCATCCTGCGTATCCTGACTCCCTCACAGCAGTTTTTCCTCATCCTGTGGCCCTGACCTGGGAGCCCTGGTGGGTCAGCTTGGGAAGTTCCTAAGTGCTAGCCTGCTCTGTCCCCTCAGGCCTTACCTTAAGCCCCCTGCAGCCACTCAGCGTTGGAGGGCAGAAAACCTTCCGCGATTCAACTACTGTCTCCAGTTGGCCCACGGTGCTTTCTAGTGAATGCCTGTTGGCTCTTCTGGGGTCTCCTGTTCTCAGATCCATCAGATGCCACCCTGTGGCTTCCTTCTTCCTTCACACAGACCCTGATGCCATGCAGAGTAGGTAGCTATTGGTGGATTGTCCCCACCTGCTTGTATTTTAGGGCTCATTGGGGTATATTGTCATCTAACTTTGTTGTAAATTCTATCCATGGCTTTTGATTTTGCTCTCTAGTTGCTGTCTGTTCTCACGTAGGGATTCAGAGAGATTGAACTGCTTCTCCTGTCACCACCATCCACCAAAAATCTGTTTAGTGATTTTTAAGAGTTAGCATTGCTTTCAAAGTGCCTGACTCCTTCCCAAAAAAAATCTATGTGAAAGGATCTGATATATAAGCAAGGATACTGTGATATAGAAACCTTAATCATTGTATTTAACTTATTTACAAATCAAGCTTTCTTTTGCGGTTATTAGTATCATTTAAAAGTTCATGATGATACATATTTTAATACCCTTGTAACTAAATATTGGACTGTCCTTTGGTTTGTGTGCTACAACTAGATTTTAGGTTTGAGGAATTATTACATGAACTAATTTTTAAAAGATTAGCTGACCTTTTGGTTTGTTTGTTTATTACTGTCCAAAAGGTGTCAGTAGTTAGTGTGGGACTAATGTTATTCTAAGTAAGGCATAAAATGTATCATCAAGATTAAGAAAAAATTAGTAAATTTTCTACCAGAAGAATCCTTTTGAAGGTTTTAAACTCTGCCATACACACTCCCTGGTGTTTTGAAATTTAAGGAGAATATTATCTTAGTTGCTCTTTCAATCATCTTATTTAACATCTTGTTTTCACATGATTGGCGATTCTGGTTGAGAGAGGTTCAGGACCAAAACAGCACAAGTGTTGAAGGTCATAATCAAGGTTCATTGCCAGAGCTGTTTGAGGGAGGTTTTACAGACCTTACTTCTAGCCGTCTCTTTTATGACCACAATTTAAAAGTAAATTATAGGTGCCTAGAAGCAAAGCAATAAAAAATGTCAATTTTTTAAACTTCTTTCAGATAAAAGCTGTAAGTTAATTTTTTTCATTTCCTAAAAACCTTCCAATCTTGACATTCTCTGGGCACATGTACAAAAAAAGACAAACACAAACAGTAAAACTGAACAAAGCCAACCAAACGAAACTCCCTAGTCATAAACCCCATGCTCCCACTCCATCACTGTAATCAAGTACATGTTTAAAGGAACATATGAGGCTAGCACTGCTCTTTAAATTAGTAAACATGCTTTTTAAATCAACTGGGACAACAAATTCATAGAAATGCCCCTCTACCATGACTTTACTATTGGCCAAAACCATCATTTCAGGTTTAAATCTAAAGACTGTTACCTAATCTCAGAAGTTCCCATATTGATGAGAGAGAAAAGTCCTTTCCAAGTTAACCTAGACCAACCTATTTGAACCCTTTATTTTTTCAGTTTTTAAAAAAAATGTGATGTTAACAGATAAACGTAAGTGTTTTTCCTGAGGATTCAAAACAAAACAAGCACAATTGTTTTTTAGTGTATTGCTGATAATTTTTAAGTATACATGGAACCATATTGCTTTATAATCAGACATCGCTTAATAAACATCAATTACCTCCTAGATGGTGTTCAGGAAGTGGCTTACATTCACTCAAACCAGAATGTTATTGGATCAAGCAAAGCTGAAAATCACATGAGCCGATGGGCAGCACATGATGTGTTTGAATTGAAGCAGTTTTCCCAGCTTCCTGCTAACATAGCTGTTTGCACTTCTAAGGTAAGCAGCACATAAGGTAGTGTCATCTTTAGTTTTTATCTCATTTTCACAGAAGTTAATAGTATCTTCTTTAAGTACTCCCTCAAAAGTAGCTACTAAGATTATAAGTGACATACAAATAGTGCAGAAAACAGAACACTTTGGGTCGCACTGTTGTCACTGAAGATGTTTTATAGTAGAAGACAAATCGATATCTAAATGTAATAATGTTGAGTTGCTTAATAAGTTTGCCAAAAATGAGGAATCTGTGGAAGTCATGCAGTTAAATCAGAACCAAAACCACTTCTTGCTCATATGGAAAAAGAAAAGTAAGTGTATGATTAGATATCCTCTAAAGTTTCATCTAAAATGAAGACAGACTCAAACTAGCTTCATATAAAATTTTTTTTTTTTTGTAAAGAAATTTTATGTTAAAAGTAATAAATACTTCCTATGGACTCTTCTCATTTAAAACGATTGTAGAGAAATAAGGCTTTATATAAATGTGATATTCACACATAAGTCACTTTCATCAAAGGTTTTAAAAAATATTATCTTCTCTTTGGCTTGTTATCCTTCATTAATTCCTAAGAGCTAAGTCTGAGGTGTAGTTTTCCTACCATTGGATGTGTAGGAGTAAAAAATGCATACTGTTTAAAACAGTGGTATTTAGTACTACTTTTAAGAATGAAGGGAGGAAGATGCCTCTGAACTGTCACACTGTCTTCATTTTTTTGTACCTTATCTGATTCAACATAAGATTTGGATGCCTTAACAATAAAATCAGAATACAAAATGAAATTCAGGACCAAGGGAAATATAAATTAAACTGGAATTTCAAGACTGGGAGAGAAAGTTAGAATGCATATATTATACGACATAATGTTCTTACCCAGATACTTTTTAATGACAAATTTGATTGACTTTCAAAGGCAGTAAATAGTTTATTTCGTGTTTTTTCAACTAGTGCATTCGGAAACGTGTGTGGGCAGTTTGGGTGGGCACAGTGACTGAGTGCCCAACTGGCATTAATGCCTGGAGGCCATGGCTGTCATGGGGAGGAGGTGGGGGGAGGGGAATCCCACATGCCAAGAATTGTTCTGCCCAAAATGCCATAACACCCTGCAGAGAAACACTGAGCTAAATGGTTGTCCTTAAGTGGGGGAGGGGGGGATACTAGCTTTTCTGAGGAGGAGAAAAGCTTTTTTTAACCCTTAATTTAAAGGAAATTTTCCTCTTGGGTTTTAAATGAGGACCACTGAATGATCTAGTGAACAGTCCAGTGTCTTATAATATCCTTAGAGTAAATGTAATAACAGACTTTGAAAGGCTGTGTTTTTAGCATTTTTAAATGTAATTCAAAGGCCCAATGTCAAAATACATCTCATGAAAGAATGCTTTCATGACCCAAGTATGCTGCTTTTTTATATTCTCATTTGATCTAGAAATATACTGTTTCTCAACCAACACTCTATACAGCATTCTATAGTTTGACTACCTTGTAGGAGCTATTTGGAAAAGTAGTCAGAGATCTGTTGGGTTTGCCAGAACTTTGCTTTATTAAAATGAACACATATCAGTATCTTTTAAGCAACTAACTTTTTATTAAGCTTTTTTTTAACCATGCCCTTTTCCAAACAAATACATTTTAATTAGAAAAAAGTAAGATAGTTTGTCTAAATTCTGTAGAAGATGTTAATGAAGTAATTTAACTGGATATTAGCCAGTAGCTTAGTTAAATATTTTTCAGAGAAGAAATTTACAGGCATACAATTCCTCCCAAAATGGATCTGAGAAGCAACCCCTAGATATAGAAGCAATAAAAAGTCCCTTTGGGACCTTCTTAAGGAAAGTTGTAAAAATGAAAATGCTACAGATATACTTTGCCTTTAATTGACAGGGACTTGGGGGTGAGGGAGTTCCTTTATACTTATACTGGCAATACCAACAGTTTTCAACCTTTTTCAGCCCCAACATTCTTGAGGGAGACGGCACAATCTCCTCAGAAACCTTGTCTCTTCACAGTGATTTTCAGAGTGAGGGAAACAAATTGCAGTGTGCATCCCCTACAGTTTCTAATATGCCTTTTGAGGCTGTATATTTCCCCTATTCCATGTAGACCAACTTAGTACAAGGAAAATGAAAAATTTATTGTTTAATGACTAAATTGTGGTTGGTATAAAGTATTCAGGGAAGTTTTGGGTTTGTTGTGGGTTTTTTTTTTAATGTTTTCTTGTATAGTTTCTATTTAATTCATTTTCTGTTACATTCTTAAAGTCACAAGTGCATCTTTGCTAATAATATCAAGACATATAAATATAGTAGTTTCCTCCCAAGAATTCGAAGATCAAACAATTGTTTTTCCTGCAGGTTAATTTTGTCTGGCAATATAGCATCTGATCATTGCACATGGTATAAGAGCTGCTCACAGAAGGTACCTAGTAAGGATGGGAGCCCATAATGGGGTTTTGACATAGAGAAGAATTGCCTGAGAAAGTTAAGATTGAATTGACTCAAAGAGGGAGGAAAGCTTTCTAGGCTGCGAGAACATCCCTATGTAAGGGGTATAATTTGGCACATTATGGGGAACTAGAAACTAGAGAAGCGCTTCCCCTGAGATATCCAGGCCAGGTGAGGGGGTAGAAAGATAAGAGAGGGGGGAGGAAGGGAGGGGGAAGAAAAAATGATCACACAAGCTGGGTTTGAATCCTGGCTAAGCCGCTGCCAACTGTACGACCTGAGGAAAGGCTTGTTTAAATGTTGTTTTACCAAGTTTCTAAAAAGAAGTGAAGAAGGAACCTGCCTGCCAGGAAGGGATGTCGCAAAGCGCAGCACTTAGTCAGGTCAGGGCTTCCCGTCCACGCCTCAGAAACCTTTGCACCTGGCTGCTGACGCTGGCAGGCAGGGCGGCCATGGAAAAAGTGCACTTGGCTCCAGGCCTCACATAGAAGCTGGGGAGGACCCGAGGGGGAGGTGGGCCACACTCGGGCTGGATCTGGGTCGCTCCAGCCCTTGCCTTTGATCAGGCTGCAGCCTCCCCGACCTGGGGAAGACCCGCAGAGACATTGCTTAGGCCGGCTGAGTTCTGGCGGATGGGGCCTCTGAATCGTCCCCACATGGTGGCTCATCTGGTTTCTAACACCTGTAACCCGCTGCAGGAAGTCCCAGGCTCTGGGAAGTCCAGAAGGAGTTAGCTGGCTATTGAGGCTTTGCCCTTTGACCTTTGACGTCCTCTTTTCACGTGTTGGACTTGTGATTGCAGCTTTCTCTGTGACGTTGTGTTCCAGGGAGATGTCACAAGCACCTGGCTGGACAGTTAGTTCAGTGCGTGCTAGACCTTGAGCAAGACAGAGAAGCTAGGAGAAGTGCTCCGAGTTTCCTGTGCTGTTCTCGGGTTCGTTTGGCGCACAACTGGCTCTAGATGGGCAATTTACTTAGCAATTCTCTGCTTCTATTCCACCGCCTATTCCGCCTCGGTACCTTGCCTGGTGACCGCCGCACCTTGCCTGGTGGCCGTCACCCGGTGATTTTCCCAGTCCGCAACAACTATGGCCCACCTGACCGAAACCAACCTGCTGCTCCAGCATGTGCCCTCCACCCTGGTCTCAGCCACCCGGATCGTGTGTGGTTACCAGCCAAGTCACACACCCTGTGGAAGAGGGCATATCTTTTCCCGCAGGGCATATATTCCTCTGTGGGGAGCCTGCCGCCATTGGAGAACTGGAATGACCCTCCAAAGAAGCCTGTTCAGTCGCTCTCCAGTCTGTTCACAACCTCTGGAACCATAAGGATCCCTCCTCCAGTACGAAATTTTATTCACCCGCGTTTTCCACCTGAGCCCATAGTCAAGTCTATGATGCCAGGACCATCCAGTGCCATTCCACATCCTGGCTCAAAGGACATAGAAGTAAAGATCCAAGAAAAACCAAAAAAAGCACTTGCAAAACTTGAAGAGGATCACGTGGAGACCAACGGACAGGACGATCAGAACTGTCACCATAGTAGTGGGGATCTACCCAAGACCAATGGAGCTGTTATTTCTGACAAGGGTAGTCCTGGGCCTCTGGACGGTGGTCCCAAGCACTGAGAATGCAGCTTGAGTGAGAATGCCCCGGTGTCTCCAGGGAGTTCCTCCTCTGAAAGCCAGGTGGTCACAAGCTCAGGCAGCCCTGCTAGAGATTTCCTGCTGCCTCCAAAGCCTGATTCAGAAACTGCAGTGCTCTCTGCCCCAACCCCATGCTGTTCCCTGCTGCCAGAGAGATCCACGAAGGAAGTCCTGGGTGAAGACCATGCGCAGATCCATCCAGACTCACTCATGTTGGGTAAGGAGATGCACAGTGAAAAGCCTGCGGATAGCCCACCAGTGAGCTCTTCACTGGTATCTGCCAGGAGAAGGCGCCGCAATTACAAAATTCCCATGCCACTTTCTCCACCCCTGCCACCACTGATGGGGGATCAAGGGCAGCTGCGGGTACTGTGTAAGCTCCCTTGCGTAGCTGTTGACAAAAACCCCGACACCTTGAAGAACCCTGCTTGTCAGTGGAATAAGATCATGGAAGATAAAATGAAGGTCATGGCAAATAGCAGTGCCACTCAGTCTGCCCCTTCTATCCCACCTGGGGTGGCTGCAGACTCTCTGCCCCGCACTACTCACATTGGTCAGGTCCCAGCTACTGCCAACTCGGCTGACCTATCTGCCAGGCCCCCGACCTTGTCTGTCCCTACACCTCCTCTAATACAAAATATTTATCAGAAAAAAGGACACACATTCCCTTACTTTCCTCTTCCTCAACATGCTCATTCTCTGCCACCTCTTAGTTCTAATCACATTTTGGGAATTCCACCTAATAAGAATGGAGGCCATTTCTATTCAGTCGTAACTACATTTCCTGTTTCTGACGTCAACATTTTCCAACCGTATCTGCCAGTATGACTGGTCAGCCAACTGTGGATCCTGATGTCATCAACAAGGACACTATTCTGCCTTCAGGTATTGTCGTATTCACAGCTCCCCCATGCTG